ACACACACACACACACACACACACACACACACACACACACACACACACACACACACACACACACACAGATTCACAATTATCAGAGAGGCTGATGCTGGCTATTCGGAGTGGAGCGTCTTCTTTTTTTTTATTTTGTAATGCAAAGTGACAAACAGGAAATTGGATGCAGTACGACGAACGTCGCAGGGATGCAAACGTTGGAGAACACGGCGTTCCCGGCCAGCATTCTCCTTCCCTTCGCCCTCCTCATGCATTCTAATCAGCTTGTGCTCCAGACCCTCACGCCCTCACCCTCCTCTTCCTCCTCCATCCCTCCATCCATCCATCGCTCGGCAACCGACGCCGCGGCCAATCGATCGCGGAGGGCGGTAAAGCCAATCGCTTCGACTTCTTCTCCTCCTTCGGCTTTTTTTTTTCTTCCAAAATACTGCACTAGAGTAAAACAACAACAACAAAAAAAAGAAGGATCACGAGGCGGGGACATTGCAGCTGAGTGAGGCGCCCTGTTCAGGGAGGCGATGAATATGGATGAGAAGGGGGTGATTAAAAAAAAAAAAAAAAAAAAAAAGGCTGAACTAAGCAAGCAAGACACTGCGCACCGCCCCCACATGCCCAACATACACACGCACACGCACACGCACGTATCAGCGAGCGAGGCTGTTAGCATTGTTAGCATCGCTGCTTCTATTTTACCTAATGAAGTGTTTCATTGCTTGAAATAATTTTAATTGTTGACCCCTCACGAGGCAGCATGGTAGTTGACTGGTCAGCACCTACGTCTCACAGTGCAGAGATCATGGGTTCGATTCTGGGCTCTGACCTTCCTGTGTCAAGTTTGCATGCTTTCCCCATCTCTGCGTGGGTTTTCTTCGCAGACTCCGGTTTCCTCCCACATTCCAAAAACATGCTTGGTAGGTTGATGAAGACTCTGAATTGTCCGTAGATGTGATTGCGAGTGTGGATGGTTGTTTGTCAATGTGTGCCCTGCAATTGGCTGGCAACAAGTTCAGGGTGTACCCCACCTCCTGCCAGAAGATGGCTGGGATAGGCTCCAGCGCGCCCATTACCCTCGCGAAGATAAGCGGCTCCGATAATGGATGGATGGACCCGCCACTTAAAATATTTTTAATTACCTGCATTGATAGTTAAAAGCGTTTCTTACTTGACAAACGTGTCATATTTTTTTGGTCCGGCGAAATATAATACGGTACAGTACAGCAGATTGTATGTGGAGCCTAAAAACCCGATACAGGGTCACGACTTTTCCCATTTGCTGTGCGTCAGTAGACATGCGGTTCTGAATCGCTTGAAGACTCAATATTTTTGCAATTGTCCAGTGCAGTGGTTTGGGCTGCGTCAATCGGTGTAGAGCAGGCCTTAATTAAATTGACAAAAAATATAATTCACAAAATGCGTCATGAATCTCCGCCATACGGCTCTCAATGGAGGATTCTGGAACATGACGCTTGCTACAATGGCCAGGGTTGAGACGTCAAATACTGTATTTAGTCGCTTATATGTAATAGATATCACACACAATCAATCATAAACACACACACACACACACACACACACACACACACGCACACGGCTTCAAACAGACCTCCCA